ATCTTCAGACTTAGAACGCAATATACTCCACTCAATGGACACCTAAACAGAATACAGCCACAACACTCCCCAGAGTGCCAGCTATGTAACTACCCCTACGAAACTGTTGAACACCATCTCTTTGAGTGCCCAAAACTCAGTGAGACAAGAAGAACGCTACTCCCTCCGAGACCAGACAAGTGGAACACCTTGTACGGAGGAAAAGAACAGCTTGTGAAAACATGCAAATTCCCCTACATGGCATTGGGCCAAAGAGCGAAAGCTCATGCGCCGCTGGATCGATAACAACAACAACAACAACCATCAAGTTGTGCAGAGCCAGCCAGTCTGTCCGCCTGTTCATTTCCCAACACACCGGCGTACCCGGTGAAAAAATCCAAAGAAAGGGCCTCCATAGTGAAGTAGTCAAGCCATTTGTCTTGTGCTCTGAATGCCATGGGTTCATTTCACAGACAAGTCGTTTAGTTCAGGAATACAGTTTTTTGTGTGATCCCGGGAGATAAACGCTGGAGCTACAAAGTTTGTGCTTTGTGCGACACTCTCGGCAGGTGACTAGCTGATGTGTGGAGAGAGACCGAGCAACATGAGATAAAATCTGATGCAGTAAAGTCGATCCTTTTGAGTTTGACTTTTTATTTTTACTTGAATATAATTAGAAAGTCCTTTGTATGCTAAAATCAAAAAGATTATGCATGTGGAATGTTTTAGAGAAAAGGATAGTTCCACCTGGCATATTGCCATCAGGGTGTGAAATATCAGGTGTTCACATATTCTAGGCCATCACATATGAGGTAGGGTGGCCAGTTTTCTTCCTTGTCAGCTTATTTTTTCCAGAGACAATTGCCAGTGAATTCTGCAAAAATGCTTCTTTTTCTTCCCCACTCTTCTGAAGGTGAAAATGTGTTGTGCCAGTTTACTGCATGGCTGTGATATTTCTACCTTTCAGTCGACACATCTGACTTCTGCAGGCATTTGGTGTCTGTCTTAAACTTCCCGGTTATTCTGGAAACTATTTAGTGCTACTTTTTATGAGGCTGGGTCAACCTCAGAATTGAATTGGTCACACACACAAAAAACACAAAAAAACTGCTACTTCTGGAATTTTGTCTTGTTTTAGGAAACGTGTGTTGCATGCATAGACATTTTACAAACTGGGTTTATTCAACTGCAGACTGTTGGTTCTTTGCCATTTTGGCAGATGCACGCTGGCTTTGAAGGAAAAGATGCTGCTAACTGAAATGTCTATTTCTGCATTATAGCTCTTTAAGTCCCAAGCCATGCATCAAGTGTACTATATACAAGGTCCGACAATTAAGTAATGAGACTGATTATATTATGGCTAAGACTAAAATGCATCTATGAATCACAGCATGGAATCCAAAGAGGCAACCTTCATCTATGATCTGGCAACTTTTCATTGCCGCTTCATAAGCAGACAACAAACAAGCCGCCATTTTTAAAAACTTGGTCAGAGGTGCATTGTTACGTAATCAGCATGGAGTAAAAAAAAAAAAGCTAACATTAAATTCTGTTTAAAACTCAGAAAAAGCACCATTGGGACTGTTGAATTGATGCAACAAGTTTATGGGGATAATGTTTATCTTGTACACAGATTTTCAGCTGGTATTCACAATTAAAAAATGGTGTGGAAATGATTACTAATGCAACTAGACCTGGATGCCCAATTTCTGTTTGTAATGAGGAACTCATTGCAAAATTCAGAGAACGGATAGAAGAAGACCATTGTTAGACTGTGAGGATGATGGTAGATGAATTTGGTGTTAATACAGAGACTATTCGTAAAATTTTAGTGGAAGATTTAGGCCAAAAAAAAAAGATGTTGCTTGCAGGTTTGCATTCAACACCTGGCAATTTTCTTCTTCTTCATGACAATGCATCGGCTCAAAGGGCGGTAGTTGTACAGGAATTGTTAGCTCAAAAACATTTTTTGTTATTTAAAGCCCTACGCTGGCTCTTGCCAGGGGCTGCAATATAGCCCGGCCATAAATATGGTCTAATGGCTGAGCGCGGTTTCTGGGACCTCTCCACGGTGATCCTCATCTGCATGGTGGCACTTTGTGTCATTGGGTGTTTATCGCTTCTGTGATGTCCTGGTGGGGTAAAAGTAGATATATAGATAGATCAACTCAGCAACATTGTGTCTGGACCCTGTGTGTGAAGTATACCCATGCTTTTATTGTAATCATTATTGCTACAATCAGGCATGAACAATTATCTGTGGGGACTGAAAGAGTTAAGCACATGGTCACACAGTAATGTTGTTAACATGAACTGTTGAGAGATTATAACAACAGATTACAGAAATAGATCTTTACCTGTAAACAATGCCATGTTTGTGTAGAAACTGTAGCCCACACACTATTTCTGCTGCATAAAATCTGGGGAGAAATGTTTAAAAACATGTTTATATGACAAATAATTGGTCATGAATCTACAATGCATGAAATCACACCATCAGTTGGCCATTTGGTTTGTCCCCTTTGAGATGTTACCTAAAGGTTTACTACCCTGAGGTTAACAGAAAATAATTTAAATCTGTATGGCAGACCAACATGGCAGACCCTAAATACCTTGTTCAACCTCTGGCAGAATAATTAAAGCATGTCCCAGGAACTGTGATTAAGAATTAGATGTAGATGTGTATTATTCCTCTGCTAACTGATCTGTGAATTAAATAATCTATGTAAAGCGTGAGGCCAAAAGAGCAGAATGTAAGTCGTGCCTGCATGTCCAACTATTAATCCTCTAAAAATAAAGTTTGTTCATGTCCAATCTAAACTGCTTTCCTCTGCATGTAGGCATCTATATAACATCACACTCATAAACTCAGTTAATCTATCCTTGATCACATATAGGTAAGCCGTGTTAACTAGTCAAATCAACATGTTTCCTCTTCTTCTTCTGTTTCTGCTTCTGCTTCTGTTTTTCTGCTTCTTTTTTTCCTGATTCTGCTTCTGTTTTCCTGCTTCTGCTTCTGTTTTTCCTGCTTCTGCTTCTGTTTTTCCTGCTTCTGCTTCTGTTTTTCTGCTTTTGCTTCTGTTTTTCCTGCTTCTGCTTCTGTTTTTCTGCTTTTGCTTCTGTTTTTCTGCTTCTGCTTCTGTTCTTCTTCTTCGCTTTACACCTCCAATGGAGCAAAGGCCCTTAACCAACACAGGCTAAGCTATCCTATCCTTTGTTATCATGCAACAAAACTCATTCCATATCCTGTCTGGCCCAGCTTATCCTCCCTCCTAGTCTCTAGTTCTTATCTATACATACTTCAGGTCTCCTGTTATTTTTTTTGGCCTTGTTCATTCCAGTGCAAGAACATTCTAGTTGCATACAGCACCTTTCACTCAGGCCATTATTGGCAACTGGGTCGCTCTTTTTTGCTTTCCGGTAGATGACTTCATTGCCAGTCGGGACAGCATTTGGATCCGTCTTCTTTGATCGCATCAACACTACAGGAGTCTTTTTCAGGACTCTTGGTTGGTGTGCAGTGCTAAGCCATTTTATATGGCACACATAACCTAGTCACAACTATAACCTAAAGCTTCCCCTTCTGGGATGCTGGTTGAAAGTGATATCCCCCCCCCCCCCAGCAAAGCACCTATCTACCTACTATTCAAGTCATGGAAACAACACTCTCAAAAATCTTTCATACCAGCCCTTTCTTATGACACCCTTCCCCCCCAAACACTGCCACTGTTATACACTCTAGGCCAGTGTTCTACAACCAGTGGTCAGCAGCACACCAGTGGTCCGTGGAAATGTCCAGATGGGGGAGGGGCTCAAACTTCCACCTTTTGAGCAGCCAGAATTGCTTTAGCTGAAATTGCTAATTTTGTGACATTCAATTAAACAAATAAAATGCTATCTACATTTGTTTTTTGTTTCTGTTTTTGGTTCAATTTCAGGTGATCTGCGAAAGAGTTTCCTTTGCTTTGCCGATCCATAGATGTAAAATGATTGAAGAACACTGCTCTAGGCTGTGACAATATGATTCTCTTTAAAAGAATCAAATTAACACAGTTAAAAAAAAAATAGGTTAAAGGTTAAGTTGAAAGGATTGACTTCATTGCACTGCGTTTTATCCCCCCATATGGCTCTGTCTCTCTCCGCAGAACAACCAGCTGCTTGCTAAGAGTGCAGCACAGAGCACGAACTCCATAGCTCTGGTGACGACCCTAGGGATCTCCATAAAAACTGCACTCGTGAACTGAAGGAATGAACCCACGACCTTCAGAATGCGAGGCAAACAGCTTGACCACTTTGCCATGAAGAAAATTATCTTTAGATAAGAAATTAAGAAATACTTAGAAGTTCAACTAAAAAGTGGTAACTCACTGCGCACGAGGAAACTCAAATTTGCCCGACAACTGTATGTGAAACATAAGGTCACCGCCGTTGAGGTACTCCATCACAAAAAACAGATGACTCTGTTAATCAGGAAGAAAATTATTGATTTCTTCTAATTATGCTAGAAAAAGAATACCTAACAGGCAAATATTATTCACAAAATGCAGAAAGAGCATGCTAATACTAATTCAAACAAAGACATGACAATATAAACTCTTAAATTAACCAAATTAACTGGGTGAATTGAAACAGCAAGAGAGATGTGATGACAAGAAACAACAGGACATAAAAGTTTACACCTTAAAAGTAGAATAATAGATTTGTTGTAAAAAAAAACAAGATAGCAAAGATAAACAAAGATAGAAACATCATTACACACCAGTGTAACCCTGGCATGTTCATGAAGAGTGACAAGCATTACTTCAGATTTCGTGGGAAGTTAGCTGGTGTTCGGATATTTTCTCCATGATATGCTGGTGTGCTGGAAAATGAACAGACAGACAGACCGACTGGTTCCGCATCACTTGACATGTGACAAGCTATATATTGTAAAGGCCCTTTGGGAGTGAGTAAACATTGCAGAAGCACAAACAGATCCTCACGACCTGAAGAGAATGGTGCCGTGGAGAGCGACCAGGGGAACTGGCTAAAGTCGAGGACGAAGATGGATATACAGTCAGACTGTTACTGTACTATCGAAATTTGACCTCTGCACTTGCTGCTTAAGATGGGGATACAGCACTTATGGGAATGTCCCAAGTGCTTCTTGGAGCAGAAAAATAACTGCCCGCTGGCTTCCAGTTCATAAAAGTATTAGTTGCTTTAGCATTCGCAGGCAAAGATGAGGATAGACAAAATAATTGTAAAATTAAAACTGTCTGAAAGCCAAGATGTTACATAATAAGGCCACAATCGATGTCACTGCATAATGAGCATTCCCATGCATGCTCAGTCCTCTGATTCAGCAGCTACTCCAAGGCACCTCTACTGATTGTTCTCATGAGAAGCTGGTTAAATTATCTTCTATCTTGGCATCAAAGATGGAAAAGTCACAATCATATAGTTTTCCATTATGAAATTTAAAATACTCAGTTCCAGTATCGGACACATTAAAAAAAAAAATTTTAAAGCCCTACCCCAGCTGTCATTGTTGTTATTATCGATCCAGAGGCACATGAGCTTTCACCCTCTGGCCCAATGCCGTATAGTGGAATTTGCATGTTTTCACAAGCTGTTCTGTTTTCTCAGTACAAGGTGTTCCACTTGTCTGGTCTTCTTCTAGTCTCGCTGAGTTTTGAGCACTCAAAGAGATGGTGTTCAACAGTTTCACAGAGGTAGTTACATAGCTGGCACTTTGGGGAGTGTTGTGGTCGTATTCTGTTTAGACATTTAATGAGTGGAGTATGTTGTGTTCTGAGTCGGAAGATGGTGGCCTGGTCCCTTCTTGTTAGATGGTTGATGCTATCATTAGGATCAGGGCCAGCCATGTGTCTATAAACCTCTCTTCCAGTGTCTCCCATGGTCCATCTGTTCAACCAAGTCTCTTTGTTTATAGCTCTCGTAAGTGTTTTTACTGACTGCAGGGCTGTCACTGTAGGTGTTTGTTCTTGTGTTGCTCCTTTCTTTGCCAGTCTATCAGCTTTGTCATTACCTGGCGTGCCGGAGTGGCCTGGAATCCAGTGCATCACTATTCTGATGTTGTATGAAGTATGAAGTAATGAGGTGATCAGCATCCAGAATTATATTGGCTATGTAAGTTTTCAGCGTTCACTGCCCTCCAGAGCTTGAAGAGCGGAAACTGAATTGGTAAATGTGACAATATTTTGGGCATTTAAACGGTTAAAATCCATAGTCTTTGTGTGGTATACTGCTGTTTCCAGTGCAATTATTTCGGCTTCATAATTTGAGCAAATTTCTCCACATGCATAAAAATCTTTTCAACAGATCCATCGGGATAGCCTATGTAGATTCTGTAACCTGCCTAATGGTAGTTTTAAATGCAGATCCATTACTATAAACAGGTATATTCTTGGGGGTAAGAATCAATGGTCTTAAGTGATGAGCATAAGGGCGATTGGGTTGGACTGTTCGGTTTCTTCGTCTACTAATTTCATTCAGACTTCTGGAGCTTTAAAACGAGCATGTGGTGGTAGGTTTCTTGTAACATTCTGGATGCCTTGACGTCTTTCCGGGAGGTGGTATCTGTCCTGTATTTCATGTACACAGTGTAAAACTTATTTGTGCTTTATTCTTTGTTAGTATTCCGTTTTCTACAAGGTTCTGTTGGTTACAGTTCATTCTAATGCATCTTTCAAAAGTTTCTAAAGTGGCTTTTTCTCTCCTCAACCCGAGGGGTTCCACATTTGTATAGATTTCACAGGCAGCAGTTGGAGTAGACTGCATAGCTCCGCAGATTAATCGGAGGGCATTATTTTGTACTCTGTCGAGTCTCTAGGTCAGTTTTGGAGCAGGTTTTAAGCAGTGAGTTGTTGTACTCTATCACAGAGCAAACATATCCAAGATACAAGCCCCTCAGAGTTTCCTAGTCTGATCCCCAAGCTGTACCTGCAAGTCTCTTCAATAATTGTAGCCACTCCAATGCCTTAGGTTTTTAATATGGTTCTTGAGGCTCAGCTGCCAGTCAAGTGTGACTCCAAGATATGTAGGATGCTCTTCTTTCATCACTTGGTGTCTGTCTAACCTCAAGTTTATATTTACTGTCATTGGAGGCTCTAATATAACTTAATGGTTCAATGGGGTTTCTGAGACTCAGATTCTCATCTGAATAGTGCAACTTTGTGTCACCAGGTAATAATTGCTTGTTGTGTGGTCTTGGTGGGGTTGAACCACCACCCACTCATTATGAAATTAGCAAAAAAAAGGACATGAAAAAATAAAATAACAATAAGAACTAAAAATAATCAAACAACAAAATAATCAAACATAGCAAACATGAGATAACAATAAACACTAAAAATATCACATTATAACACATAAGTAAGGAAGAGGAAATTACTTAACAATACTTACTTTACTCTGGAAAGTACTGTGAAGGTGGGTAAGGAAGGGATGCCTGTGGCCAATAGACAGTACCCTTTTTTCAATCATAGTACATTCAACATCATCATCCTCAAGAACGACATCTTTCCGCAAAGCTTTGACAGCATAATAAATGCCGTTTTCTTTCAATTCAGCAAGCATGACCTAGGTAACAAAGAAATTCAACACAAGTGTCATGTAAATAACTTAATTAAACAGAAATGTTTAGTATACAGAGCTGCATGGCACAGAGGTAGGTGAGCTTGCTTGCCCAAGTTTTTAGTCTAAGTTCAATCTTCTGCTTGCCTAAGTTATTGGTCAAAGTTAAATCGTCAGCACAAGCAGTATAATCATTTTCTGACTCGTATGGCTCTGAAATCTACCTGCTTCAGACTCAAATCAGGTGCATTTCATGGATTTTCTGTTCGGGACATTCAGGTGTGCAGGCTGACAGATTGGCTGCTGCCATACTTCTAGTCAGTAGTTACTTTCCGATAAAGTGAACACACATGACGTGATTGTAACTGACTCACAGAGCATGTTGAGAAAGGTGAAAACGGGCATGCTTCGTGCAGAGTGGCAGGCATCACTTCAGAGGAGCCAGTAGTAAGCATCCTTTGGATATTTTCTTCAGGTCATGCCGGTGTGTTGGGAAATGAGCAGGCTGATAGACTGACAAGTTAGATTTTGTTAGGGCCTTTTAGGAGCGAGTAAACGGTGCTAAGGTGCAGATAAATATTTACGGTCTAAGGAGAACGGCGCTGCGAGGAGTTACCCGGGTATATGTCCAATGCTCAACACTCAGGGAAAGGACGAGGCGGATATACAATGCATGTTACTGGTACTATCGGAATTGGAACTCTTTGCTTGCTGCTGAAGATGGGGACTGAGCACTTGTGGTAGTGTCCTGAATGCTGTAATGTTGATTCTCAATTTAACATTTAACATAAAGTGAACGTGGCAAAGGCTCTCTCGGATAAAGTAAACACAGCAACACAACAGACACAGCTTCCTAACTGAAAGTTTGTTTAGCAAGGGTGAGTAGAAATTCTGAATGATATTTAACATTGAGGGTAAGAAACATGACTGGACTTTTAATCAGGTCGCAAATGGAACTATTAACATGGGGATTCTTCAATGGTCACTGAAGAAGGAGATGAAGTATGTGTGGGAATGTCCTAACTGCAACAATGTCAGTTTCTCTGATTCTCTAATTAATTCATGAATGAAACAGGTATTAAAGTAGATTCGTGGGAACAAAATGTCATTGGCCGTTGCGTGGAAAGGGTGGGGTGTATCAGGAAGGAAATGGGAATGAAGGAAAAATTATAGATAAAAGGTTGACAGTTGAGTGTCTGCAATAGGCACACTAAAATATGTGAGATGATTTCTCATGCTCTAACTGTGGAAGATTTTTTGAACACGGGTGGATCTTGCTAGTCACACTCCCCATTGCCATGGGCATTCTTCTTCTTCTCTGCGTTCGGTTTCATATGCTCAGATCAGACCATCATTTGGGTTGCCTCTATGAACTCGCATGTCAGCAGCATGTCCTTCATGGTTCCCCGTAGCTTGCTCTGCACAATTTGCTCTTGAGGCCAGGTGTCTTTTTAAAGTTGTAAGTAGAGATGGCAGGTTTGTAGAATGTGCTCAGGTGTTTGTGGTCTGTTTGACAGGCACACTGCGTGGACTGTTCAATCTTTATTTTATGGATGTAGTAGTTGAGCCTGCAGTGACATCACAGCACTTGAGACATTCCCATAAGTGCTACATCCTCATTTTCAGCAGTCAGTGAAAAGTTACAATTCAGATTAGTTTGATTATATGTTCGTCTTGACTTTCTTCTGAGTGTAGAGTGATTACCAAATCCTTGGGTCATTTCCAGCTGAAGCACCCTTTCTAGTGACTTATTCACGCTTCCACATCTTTCACTTGCTCCAAAAGGGTTCTCATCACATTATATATGTCAACTTATCAAGTATAAATTATAAAATACAACTGATCTGTGAAAAAAGTGGTTGCCTACGTGCCCAGTTTGAAAATAAAAAGAAAGTGAAGCATGTGTATGCCGCCTGTGAAGTTGAGATAAGAGACATTATAACCAGCTTCTCATACGCACAATCAGCAGAGGTAACTTTGAGTGGCTGCTGCATTGGAGGACTGAGCACACATGGGAATACCCAATGTGCAGTGACGTCAATTGTGATAACATAATTTTTTTGTAGGTGTAATATCTATCTTTAAAAAAAAATTGTTTTCAAAATAAAAACATATATTGACATACATTGATAAACATATTTTTGCATAGAAAAAAAATGCTAATGAATATATTCTTTCAGAGACTGCAAGATGTGAACAAGTATGACAATCCCTCCTGGCATATGATGATGATTGCTTTAGCTGAAACTAGGCTTCTTTTGCAAGAGACTGATATGAAAATAATAACAATATAATAGAAAAGTCTTCATATTAAAATAAAGTTCCTAGTGAATTTGATTTAATGAAGAATGAAAACAAGATGCTCCTTGATATTTACGACTGTTCTTCATCATGACCTTGCATCCTGGCTTGTGAATTGGAAATGCTTCGAACATTTTGGCTCAGTTTTCAGAAGAATCGGGTATGATGGTGTCATCTGCAGCTTTTTTGTGTGTATAGTCTATTTAATATCTTAACTGCTACTGGCATTTTTTTTGCAGAAGCAAAAACAGAAAATTAAGGAAAATTAAATGACAATTAAATTAAAAAGAATAAGTAACTAACCTTGCCAAAACTTCCTTTTCCTAAAACTTTGAGGAAATTAAAATCTTCAGGTTTGAACCTCCGCACTTCAAGGGCAGGCGCATGCGGAACATTGTCAATTCCCCAAACTTCCTGGTAACTTGAGTTCTCATCATTTTCTTCTTCTTCATCATCATCATCAAGCAGTGGATTCTGCAGCATGCAACAACATTATATTTTAAATAACATTAAATTTGACTCTTTTATGTGAATATTTAGTAGCAGCAGCATTCAATATTACAATTTCATGTGAGGAACTGAGTTGCGGTAATATTCAATATTTGGAGTCACCGTGGCGTAGCGGCTAGAGGCTGACCTGCGGATCAGAAAGTCGTGGTTTCGCTCCCTGGCGGAGCAGGACATTTTTAAAAAATGACTTTGGCTCCCAGGTCGACCCAGCCTTGAGTGAGTACCGGGTGCAGTACCGGGTGCAGTACCGGGTGCAGTCCCGAGAAGTAAAGGTGGCCGGCATGATGCTGACCTCATTAACCATCTTGTGCTGATTGGTCTTTGAAAATATAGGTCTAGCCGTATATGCCCTATATGCTTGAAGGCTTGGAAAAGAGTCCTTTACTTTTGTTTTTTAATATTCAATATTACACCTGGGTGTGAAATATTGAGTGGCAGTAATATTCAATATTACACCTGGGTGTGAAATATTGAGTGGCAGTAATATTCAATATTACACCTGGGTGTGAAATATTGAGTGGCAGTAATATTCAATATTACACCTGGGTGTGAAATATTGAGTGGCAGTAATATTCAATATTACACCTGGGTGTGAAATATTGAGTGGCAGTAATATTCAATATTACAATTTCATGTGAAATATTGAGTGGCAGTAATATTCAATATTACAATTTATTGTGAAAAACTGAGTGGCGGTAATATTAAATATTATAATTGAATATGAAGAACTCAGCTATGGTAATAATCAATATTACAATTTCATGTGAAAAACTGAGTGGTGGTAATATTCAATATTACAATTTATTGTGAAAAACTGAGTGGCGGTAGTATCCATTATTACAATTTCATGTGAAAAATTTAGGGGTGGTAATATTCAGTATTATAACTTCATGTTAAAAAGTGAATGGTGGCAATGTTTAATGTTAAATTTCAGTTAATCTTTAATGTTAAATTTCAGTTAATCACTAAAAGAACTGGTTCAGAAAACAACTGTCTGGGTTAAGAATACGTCAGTCACTAAAACAGTTGGTTCATAAACCAAATGTCTGGGTCAGGAGTGAGTAAATCCCCAAAAGAGTTGGTTGATAAAACAGCTGGTAGGTTCAGAATAAGTTAATCCCTAAAAGAGTTGGTTGATAAAACAGCTGTTAGGTTCAGATAAGTAAATCACTAAAAGAGTTGGTTCATAAAACAGCTGTTAGGTTCAGAATAACTAAATCACTAAAAGAGTTGGTTCATAAAACAGCTGTTAGGTTCAGAATAAGTTAATAAGTAAAAGAGTTGGTTGATAAAACAGCTGTTAGGTTCAGAATAAGTTAATCCCTAAAAGAGTTGGTTGATAAAACAGCTGTTAGGTTCAGAATAAGTTAATCCCTAAAAGAGTTGGTTCATAAAACAGCTGTTAGGTTCAGAATAAGTTAATCACTTAAAGAGTTGGTTCATAAAACAGCTGTTAGGTTCAGAATAAGTTAATCACTAAAAGAGTTGGTTCATAAAACAGCTGTTACGTTCAGAATAAGTTAATCACTAAAAGAGTTGGTTCATAAAACAGCTGTTAGGTTCAGAATAAGTTAATCACTTAAAGAGTTGGTTCAAAAAACAGCTGTTAGGTTCAGAATAAGTTAATCACTAAAAGAGTTGGTTCATAAAACAGCTGTTAGGTTCAGAATAAGTTAATCACTAAAAGAGTTGGTTCATAAAACAGCTGTTAGGTTCAGAATAAGTTAATCACTAAAAGAGTTGGTTCATAAAACAGCTGTTAGGTTCAGAATAAGTTAATCACTAAAAGATTTGGTTAATAAAACAGCTGTTAGGTTCAGAAGAATTTAATCACTAAAAGAGTTTGTTCATGAAAATGTATTTAAAAAATGGTACTGTCTCCAAAATGGGGGTTGGCTGCAGTGTATCAGCTGACTGGCTGCCTTATGCATTTACATTGTATGGGTGAACTTCAAGATTTTGCTGGGGCTTATTTGTTTTTCATTAGTTTTTCAAATAGGACAGTGAAGGAAATATTTTGCAATTACCCCTAGCACAGAAATGGGGCAAGTTATGGAAAGACCCACCTTTGGTGAAGTTGAAATCTTGACTAATGAATAACATATCTATTGATATCTTGGCAATATTACATGGTGAGGCACCCCAATCTCTTCAACAATGGGACTCTTACAGCACAGTGCAAATGTGTTGTGAACATTCTTGCAACTGAGTATACTGATCAACATCAACAAATTAGGACAATCAACATCACTGCTTTACAACTTTACTGATTTAAGAATCGACATCATAGTACACTGGCCATGCCCATAGATGCTCCCTCTCCCTCGGCAAATGTCTTAAGGTGTAGATGCGGGCTGTTTCAGTAACACACTGGCCGACATGTGTCAGACTCTTATACTCATACTTCTTTTCTGGATTCACTCTTATTTCCACCTTATTGCCACTTTCTACAGGAACATCAGATCTTCTATCAGCATTCATTCAAAACTGTTTTAAGAATGTCTATTTCTTCTTTCTTTTGTTGCCTCAATGATACCAGGTTGTAACCTAGTGTTGGGTTTTCTGTATTTATCTTGCACTTCTTGCGTGACCTAGGTGCTGGATTTGTTCATCTTTTTGCAGAATTCAGCTACACCATTTATCCATCTCCCTCTTGGTCTTTCTTTTCCTTTCCTCCCAGATGTTTTGCTGGTAGAGTCTCATAAGCGGTTTAGTCTGGCTGCATTCTCATCAGATAGTTAAACCATTTCATGTCTGTCAGTATTAATTCAGACACTAAGAATATCTACTTTGTCTAAAATGAGTGTTTCTGCTACTACAGTCTTTCATTACTTCCCAACTAAATTTATATATATTTAACTCTTTGAGTCCCAAGGAGCGCATCATACATAAATAGGTTACTGCATAGAAGCTCAATGAATGCATAATGCGCTGATTTTACGTTTCTCTTGACTACCCCTTGGGCCTGTAAAGCTAAACCCTCTGGGACTCAAAGAGTTAATGCTGCTGAGTGATAATATCAAGACATGCACATGAACAAACTCTACAACACTTACATCGCTCATAGTTGAAGACTGCAGTTTCTTCTTTTCTCCTGGAGTGGCTGTGATTCTGACCTGTTGAAGAGCTTCGGCCAGTAGCTTCTGGTTAATTCCACACAGGTTTGGCATAAAGCTCTGACATTTCTTGTGACAGTTAATGTTGCAAACTACATGTAATGAAAGGAAAAAGAAGCATTGGGGGTTAATGTTAATGTATGAACAAAGGTAAAAGTAAATTTATCTTTCCTGTAGCAACATATGGATGTGAGTTGTAGACAACATGTGGATGTGAGTTGTGGACAACATGTGGATGTGAGTTGTGGATAACATGTGGATGTGAGTTGTGGACAACATGTGGATGTGAGTTGTGGACAACATGTGGATGTGAGTTGTGGACAACATGTGGATGTGAGTTGTGGACAACATGTGGATGTGAGTTGTGGACAACATGTGGATGTGAGTTGTGGACAACATGTGGATGTGAGTTGTGGACAACATGTGGATGTGAGTTGTGGACAACAAGTGGATGTGAGTTGTGGACAACATGTGGATGTGAGTTGTGGACAACATGTGGATGTGAGTTGTGGACAACATGTGGATGTGAGTTGTGGACAACATGTGGATGTGAGTTGTGGACAACATGTGGATGTGAGCTGTGGACAACATGTGGATGTGAGTTGTGGACAACAAGTGGATGTGAGTTGTGGACAACATGTGGATGTGAGTTGTGGACAACATGTGGATGTGAGTTGTGGACAACATGTGGATGTGAGTTGTGGACAACATGTGGATGTGAGTTGTGGACAACATGTGGATGTGAGTTGTGGACAACATGTGGATGTGAGTTGTGGACAACATGTGGATGTGAGCTGTGGATAACATGTGGATGTGAGTTGTGGACAACATGGATGTGAGTTGTGGACAACATGTGGATGTGAGTTGTGGACAACATGTGGATGTGAGTTGTGGACAACATGTGGATGTGAGTTGTGGACAACATGTGGATGTGAGTTGTGGACAACATGTGGATGTGAGTTGTGGACAACATGTGGATGTGAGTTGTGGACAACAAGTGGATGTGAGTTGTGGACAACAAGTGGATGTGAGTTGTGGACAACATGTGGATGTGAGTTGTGGACAACATGTGGATGTGAGTTGTGGACAACATGTGGATGTGAGTTGTGGACAACATGTGGATGTGAGTTGTGGACAACATGTGGATGTGAGTTGTGGACAACATGTGGATGTGAGTTGTGGACAACATGTGGATGTGAGTTGTGGACAACACATGGATGGGAGTTGTGGACAACATGTGGATGTGAGTTGTGGACAACATGTGGATGTGGGTTGTGGAATATGTTACAATAATTAAGAAAGAAAATATAGGTTTTTCAGCTGACATTATACACAATTTGTAATTCAGAAATACCCAGTTCAGTTCAGCGCCAGTCAGTTTGGCAGCTTACTGTGAAATGGTGTAGATTTAAACAATGGTAAGATAATGAATGTAAAATTACCTAGTGTGGCCTGGTGATTTTGGTCACTGGAATGAGGGGAAGTTATGGCCTTTATGATGTGTAAAAGGACATAAACAATGAGTAGACAACATCTATACACTTACTGGCAGGAGAATAAGGTTTCTGAGAAAAATGAAAACAACAGGAAGAATTGAAGGAAAACAGATGAGCCAGTCCCTCCTCAAAACTGATGAAAAGCATAAATTGATTAGAGAATTGTGGATTTGGGGACCTCATTGTGGGGAAAACAAGAATAGACCCACTGCCTCAACAGGCATGACTAACTGGCAACTTCCTTTAAAGCTGAAGTGCATCCACCTGACAGGCAAGGAAACAATAACCTGCATACAAATAAGTCATAGCTGTAGAAGGGATGTGTGAGCAACAAGCAGGTTCTGGAGCAAGAGGTGGATAAACAACCAGAACTTTCCAGTGGAGTTTACAGGCGGTGAATGCGAAGAAGAAGGACAATATTTTGGGATATGTTAATCTAAAATAAAAGCAATAATCTAAAAAAAAAAAATTGGTGTCAGCTGGGAGCTTGTTAGGAAAGACTGCCTGGGGAAAACAAACGGATAATACATGGATGACTCGGCTCATGGATGGAGGTGGACCTTCAGATCCATGATTCTTGTGATCATTGGGCAGTGGTAAATGGTAGCTGCCTACAATGAAGGCATGGCACAGGATGGTGATGGTAATGCAGGCCACACTTCACTCTCTCTCTCTCGTTCTCTCTCTTTCTCTCTCTCTTTCTCACACACTCTCTCTCTGGTTCTCTCTCTCTCACACACTCTCTCTCTCATTCTCTCTCTCACACACTCTCTCTCTCATTCTCTCTCTCACACACTCTCTCTCTCATTCTCTCTCTCTTTCTCTCTCTCTTTCTCACACACTCTCTCTCTCGTTCTCTCTCTCTCACACACTCTCTCTCTCTTTCTCACACACTCTCTCTCTCACACACTGTCTCTCTCAACACACACACTCTCTCTCTCACACACACTCTCTCTCTCACACACACACACATACTCTCTCTCTCACTCTCTCTCTCTCACACAATCTCTCTCTCACACACTCTCTCTCTCACACACTCTTTATCTCTCACACACTCTCTCTCACACACACTCTCTCTCTCTCACACACACACTCTCTCTCTCGTTCTCTCTATCTCTTTCTCTCTCTCTTTCTCACACACTCTCTCTCTTGTTCTCTCTCTCTCACACACTCTCGCTCTCTTGTTCTCTCTCTTTCTCTCTCTCTTTCTCACACACTCTCTCTCTCGTTCTCTCTCTCTCACACACACTCTCTCTCTTTCTCACACACTCACTCTCTCACACACTCTCTCCCACACACACACACTCTCTCTCTTACACACACACAGTCTCTCTCACACACCCTCTCTCACACACATACTATCTCTCTCACACACTCTCTCTCACACATACACTCTCTCTCACACACTCTCTCTCTCTCACACTCTCTCTCACACACAAACTCTCTCTCACACACACACTCTCTCTCTCACACACTCTCTCTCACACACACTCTCTCTCTCACACACTCTATTTCTCACACACTCTCTCTCACACACTCTCTCTCACACACTCTCTCTCACACACTCTCTCTCTCACACACACTCTCTCTCTCATACACACACTCTCTCACACACACACACACTCTCTCACACACACACACTCTCTCTCTCTCACACACACTCTCTCTCTCTCACACACTCTCTCTCTCACACACTCTCTCTCACACACACACTCTCTCTCTCACACACACACTCTCTCTCTCACACACTCTCTCTCTCACACACACACACTCTCTCTCACACACACACTCTCTCTCACACACACACTCTCTCTCTCACACACACACACTCTCTCTCACACACACTCTCTCTCACACACACACTCTCTCTCTCACACACACACTCTTTCTCTCACACACTCTCTCTCACACACACACTCTCTCTCACACACACACACTCTCTCTCTCACACACACACACTCTCTCTCTCACACACACACACTCTCTCTCTCACACTCTCTCTCTCACACACACTCTCTCACACACGCACACTCTCTCACACATACACACTCTCTCACACACACACTCTCTCTCTCACACACTCTTTCATACACACACACTCTCTCTCTCTCTCTCTCACACACACTCTCTCTCTCTCACACACACACTCTCTCTCTCTCACACACTCTCTCTCTCACACACTCTCTCTCTCTCACACACACACTCTCTCTCTCACACACACACTCTCTCTCTCACACACACACTCTCTCTCTCACACACACACTCTCTCACACACACTCTCTCTCTCATACTCTCTCTCTCTCTCATACACTCTCTCTTTCACACACACTCTCTATCACACACACACTCTCTCTCACACACACACTCTTTCTCTCACACACTCTCTCTCACACACACTCTCTCACACATACACACTCTCTCTCACACACACACTCTCTCTCACACACACTCTCTCTCTCACACACACACTCTCTCTCTCACACACACACTCTCTCTCTCTCACACACTCTCTCTCTCATACACTCTCTCTCACACACACACACACTCTCTCTCACACACACACTCTCTCTCACACACACACACTCTCTCTCTTACACTCTCTCTCACACACACACTCTCTCTCTCTCACACACACTCTCTCTCTCACACACACACACTCTCTCTCACACACACACACTCTCTCTCTCACACACTCTCTCTCTCACACACTCTCTCTCACACACACACACACTCTCTCACACACACACTCTCTCTCTCTCAACTATGCCTTTATCAACAATGTGACTTGTGTTTCATATATTGTTTTGTAATCTTTAAACAAAAGAGAGTCCTACCTTCACATTTCAGACCCTGCCTAAACAGACCAAACAGCATAGAACCACAGTGGTCGCAGAATGTCGGAGACATGTAGTTGTAGACCTTGAAGCGATGTGGTACATTAATGTTGAAACGTTCTGTCAACATCTGCAACATTAAAATTAATTATACAATTTTCTTCTTCATTTTCTTTTTCAAAAGTAACCTCAGCAAAGAATTAAGGGAGGCATAAGAATTGTCTCTGTGTTTATTTTTAATGCACTTTATAAGTTGGTTTTCAATTCTCTAAGGCTTTTTTAAAATGACAAATTAAAAAGAATCTGGAGGCAACAGAGATGTGGTTTCTCAGAAAATGTTACGAATACCTTGGACGGCCAGAGCAATTAAAAATGATTGTTTGAAAAAAGCTAATGAAAGTAAATCTCTGTATACAACAATAAGAAGAAGACAGACACTGTTCTTTAGCCACGGAATGAAAAGAGAGGCATTGGAAAACATCGTGACAACTGGAAAGATCAGTGGAAAGAGGCCTAGAGGCAGACCAAGAGAGGATATGCTGGATGGGTTGAAATGATGGCATGGAGGGATATCATCAAGAGAGCTGTTCCAGGCAACCAGGGATCACGATCTGTGGATCTGCTAACTTGCAAGGCATATAATGATGACAATGATGTTCTTGATGCCATCATTCCATTTTCTGCATGGTCTTCTCCTTGTTCTGTGTCATTATGTTTCTTCATTGTGGCAATCTGTGTCACTTTGAGCCAGAAAATTCTCATCAGAAGACCAAACCATCTCATCTGTTGCTCTTTAATAAATTTTGTGATAGCGGTAACAAAAGCAATGATGTGGCTAGAGACACAGCAATTTTCCAAAGCATGCTTTCTAAGTGATTCTATGAGTGTGCTTAAGATGATAGAGACACTATGGATTCAAAGAAAATGGTTGGTTACTGAAGAAATGTTGTCTGATAGGAATTTGTTTAACCTTTGTGCCAGGACACTCTGGGGTAAGAGGGAATGAATGAGCGGATTGGCTCGCTGGCAGGGCCATGGTAGGTACAGCAAAGGCAATGGATCGGGCCAACATTCTCAATGCTCTCAAGGAGGCAGGACGAGAAGATGTATCAGTAGACGAAGTTGAATCGACAACACTCAAAAAACTAAAAGAACTTCAGGTCCAAAGAGGTGTCGCATAAACACTATACAGGTAGTCAAAGAAAAATAGCAAACCAACACAGAACTGGTGTTATCAGTGGCCACACTCTGAGGGAGATACTGAAGATGGGATCTGAGCACTTATGGCCTTGCCCAATGTGCAATGAGGATAATCTGTTGATTAAATAACTAACTCTTTAAAGTTAAAGTTAGTTGCGTCTCCTTTACAAGACATTGCAGAACCAACCCCAGCATTTTTCAGCTGTTGTGGTTTTTCTAAGCAAATTTACATCCAATAGTTTGCCGTTGCTTTCTGGATGGTACGACTCTCGATGCTACTGTCAAAACCAATGCAAGGGCAAGGCCTGCAGCTGGAATCGAACCCGGCACCCTGGCATTACGAAGCACGTTCACAATGCCTAAGCCGCAGACGGCGACAACTATATCTTTACTAATTTTGTTTTTGGTTTGTTTCAGGTCTAGACATCTTCTCATTTCTTCATGTTAATTTCATCTCTTCATAATACCCCATCACCTCTTCTGAGTCCATAACTGATATTGATAGAACAATGGCAGCCACAAACTATGAATGCCAAAGGTTAGTTTCATCCACTTCATCTATTGGATTATGGAATTTTAAAGGATTTTCCTGGGGATATTTACTGGAATTATGAAGTTTGTCAGAAGCTGAAATAATTTGGTCGTACCAAGTGCCACATCGGATAGGAAAAAAAAAAGCAGAAGACATGGTACCAGGAATGAGGAGTAGAGTCCCACTAACATGAAGATGGGCATAGGATGTAAGTGCCTTCTTAAATATGAAAGTACATGAGGCGGGAAAGCTGGCGAGAGACCAAGTTTCTTTCAGGCAGACCGTGATCTTCTTCTTCTTCTTCGTGTTGACCAGCTGTAAACTCTGGTGGAAAGTTCTGGTTGTTCGTCCATTTCTGGACTGCAGTCCTGTTCCAGAACTTGAGTGTTATGTTTGCATCCGTTTGACAGATTAGACTAATTTGTATGCAGACTGTTGGTTCCTTGCCTCTGGGGCAGATGCATTCCCACTTTGAAGGAAGCTCCCAATTTGTCAACTCTTATGACGTGCTTTGGGGTAGGCAGTGGGGCTATTCTTGTTTTCCCCATAACAGGTCCCCTGAACCCACATGGGGAACAGACTGTGATAAGAGTGACGTTCTGCAAAGGACCTGCTATATGATGATGATGATGATGGAGTTTGTGCTTAATATGATGCACTAAGCAGGTGGCTAGCTGACAATCAGGTAATCACAGTAGAAACTTCATAGCAAATAGGTCACCCCATGGTTGCTCCGTTCCTGTGCCAACACAAACAGTCTGGCACTAGAAATGCAGTTCATTGTTGTTGCAAGCAGCAGTTACAACAGATCAGTAGTTGCACATGCAATTATTCGCATAAGGCACCACCAGTTATATGGAAACATCCATTCAACATTTTCTAAATTTGCGGTCCATAACACAAACCACATTAGGAACAACAACAACAAAAAAAACATCCTAAAAAACTCCCTGCAGCTCACAGTGTTCAGCAACCATATCCTGTCAGTAAAACTGGACTACGGAGAAAAGCCAAGCCAGATGGTATAAAATCCAGTGCAATGATTAGTCTTCTCAGTTTTACACCCTGAACACCCTTACATGGACTGGTTAAATGGCAAGGGACTGGTTCAATGGCTAGCCCAGATCCTGTTTTACTTTAAAAAAAATAATAACAACAACTGACACAACACTCACCATGGTTTCTCTGCTATTTTTGGCATTCCCTGGACATTTCCCTAAAATTTTGTCATGGCATTTCTTGTGGACTGCACAATTACACACTGTGGATGAATACAATTGCCAGAGAAAATCATCATCATGCAAAACATACAGAGCATTTCATAAGTTTGCTTCGAGCAGACTGGCAAGCTTCATTGGGAAGGTCACAGGTAGTGAGCATACTTTGGATCTTTTCTCTAGGCTATTTCGGCATAGTAGGTAATGAATAGGTAGACAAACTGGCTGGATCTGCACCACTGGGTGGTGGATTGATACATGACCAGGCAGATGTGGTCAAGACCCTTAGGGAAGAAACAACGGAATCAGTAGAGAAACAAGATTATAATGACCTGAAGAGAATGAGGCACCTGGGTGTAACCAGAGGGTCTGGACGTTTCACTACACTCAGAGGAAAGGCAAGACGGACATATAACCCGATTATGACCAGTAACATCAGTAGTGGAACTCTGCACTGGCTGCTAAAGATGAGGACAGAGCACGCATGGGAGTGCTGTGATGTCAATTTTTGATTCAACAGTAAAAGTAAGTAAAGGTCCCTTTTCCACGCCAGGCATATTGAGAATATAGGGCTAAACCGAGATTTCTAAAGACCACTGGGCACTTGGTGGGTGATGTAGTCAGCATCATGCCGGCTGCCTTTACTTCCCAGGACTGTACCTGGTACCCACTCAAGGCTGGGTCAACCTGGGAGTCAAGGTCATTTAAAAAAAAAAAAAAAGTTTGGCTCTGTCAGGATGCGAAACCACGACCTTCTGATCCACAGGCGGGCATCTAGCCGCTAACGCCACAATAAGTTTCTGTACACAGAGAAAAAAACCCAATTTTCTTTAAAAAAACAATACTTTTTAATATAACTCTAAATGGTTACAACTGTTTTGAAAAATATTTTGCTGTGTTCCTTCTATTTATGAAAAGCATGTATAAGCATAGCTAGAGTCGTAGTTGTAATGGTGTTGGTGATGTTTCTTTTTCTTACCTATGGAAATTATTGAGACACCCTGTAAAAAAAATCATGATGAAGAACATACAATACATATGTGAAGAAAATCGTCACATACAATAACAGACATGATAAATCAATGATTGCTGATGAAGACTATTTCAATGGAAAGAGATATACATCCATGACTCCTTGTGTTGGTTTCTTAGCTACATTTCTAAGCGGTAAACAATACCACACCAAACATGTTCAAAAAGATAACTAATTAAGAATTTTGCTCACATGCGGATCAGAAGGTTGTAGGTTCGGGTCCAAATGGAGCTAAACTTTTAAAAATAAAACGACCTTGGCTCCCAGGTTGACCCAGCCTTGAGTGGGTACCAGGTATAGTCTGTGGAAGTAAAGGCGGCTGGCATGATGCTGACCACATCATCCACCAAGTGCTGATTGGTCTTTAAAATATCGGTCTAGCCCTATATGCCTGAAGGCATGGAAAAAGGTCTTTCACTTTACTTAATTAAAGATTTGCTGAAACTAGATGTGTTGAACCTAAAAGCACAGCCTAGCTGTACGATGCCACAAACTGTACCAACCACCCTTCTAAGGGTGAAAGGTAAAAGAAAAAGATACAATAAAAATAACTTATACACAGATGCGAAGAAAATCACCACGGATGAAAACAGACACAAGTTAGTTGTCTGTCCTGTACAGGAAGTTGCAGAACCAACCCCAGCATTTTTTGTTTTTGTTTTTGGCTGTTATGGTTTTTCTAAGCAAATTTACACTCTGTAGTTTGCCACTTATTTTTGAAAGGCAGGCTCTGAATGCCACTGGAAAGGACACTTCTTTGACAATATTGATGGCATCCAAAGGGCCGTAACATCGACTTAAAGGACCATACCGATTGAAGCACTGCAGTGGTCGTTCCAGTGTTTGTTAGATCGTGCCACTCGCTGTATCAGTGCACAAAAGTCTTACTTTGAATAAAATACAAGTTATATCTTTAACTGTTGATTATTTTAATTTTTATGGAATTAGTCACATTACTTAATTGTCGGACCTTGTACATAGATACAAAATAATAAATTCTGACGAGGAGAAACTCACCAGGTATGATAAAAGATAAACAAAAGTGATAAAGTAAACAAATAATCTCTCATCCTTTTTAGGATGAAATTTTTCGTTATTTGAATCCCTACTCTGGCTCTTGCCAGCGGCCGCAATATAGCCTGGCCATAAATATGGCCTAAAGACTGAACGCAGTTTCTGGGACCTTTCCACGGTGATCCTCACCCACATGGTGGCACATTGTGTCATCGCATGTTTATCGCTTGTGTGATGTCCTGGTGGGGTAGAAAGTCAGTCAGTCAGATAGTAAACACGCATACAAATGTGAAAACATGTGAGGTCTATTAATAATCACAATCATGAACACGCATACAAATGTGAAAACATGTGAGGTCTATTAATAATCACAATCATGAAAACTGAATACAAGTTAATATAAACTTCTAGACAGTAAAAGATGAGGTTTATCAAACAATTTATTACTAACCATTTACGTATGCTCAGAAACTTAAAATTTATACAGATTCCTTCCTAAAGTTCAGCTTCTGCTAAATGTCATTGCTGACGTTCGATAGTCTGTCAAATGTCATTCTTGATGTCTTACTGTCCAGAATATGTGCTGCCATTTAAAACCACCATCAAACATCTAACTAGCAACAACAAACATCTAACTAGCAACAACAAACATCTAACTAGCAACAACAAACATCTAACTAGCAACAACAAACATCTAACTAGCAACAACAAACATCTAACTAGCAACAACAAACATCTAACTAGCAACAACAAACATCTAACTAGCAACAACAAACATCTAACTAGCAACAACAAACATCTAACTAGCAACAACAAACATCTAACTAGCAACAACAAACATCTAACTAGCAACAACAAACATCTAACTAGCAACAACAAACATCTAACTAGCAACAACAAACATCACTAGCAACAACAAACATCTAACTAGCAACAACAAACATCTAACTAGCAACAACAAACATCTAACTAGCAACAACAAACATCTAACTAGCAACAACAAACATCTAACTAGCAACAACAAACATCTAACTAGCAACAACAAACATCTAACTAGCAACAACAATCTAACTAGCAACAACAAACATCTAACTAGCAACAACAAACATCTAACTAGCAACAACAAACATCTAACTAGCAACAACAAACATCTAACTAGCAACTAACAACAAATCTAGCAACAACAAACACTAGCAACAACAAACATCTAACTAGCAACAACAAACATCTAACTAGCAACAACAAACATCTAACTAGCAACAACAAACATCTAACTAGCAACAACAAACATCTAACTAGCAACAACAAACCACTTACTTTGGCACTGGTATCCTTGTTTATTCAATCCCCTGAAAGTAATTTAAATATATAAAAAAAAAAAACAGTTACAACATTGTTTTGGTCAACTGAGAAAGGTGAATGGCAAGAAGTTAAAATAGCAAAATGGTTTGCAAAGCTTTATCGAGAACTTTGTACAGTTGCATTGCTTTGAGAGCTGACATCGCAGAACTCGGGACATTCCCATAAGCACCCCATCCCCATTTTCAGCAGCTAGTGCAACATTGCAACATTCTTTTCGGACCATAATGGCCTATTTGCACTTTTGCCTTGTTCACTTGCTCCCAACGAGCCTTAATCACTAGCTTGTCATACATCAGTGATACAGCACCAGACAGTCAAAGGGCCTCCATAACTAGTTTGTCATACATCAGTGATACAACACCAGACAGTCAAAGGGCCTCGATAACTAGATTGTCATACATCAGTGATACAACACCAGACAGTCAAAGGGCCTTGATCACTAGCTTGTCATATATCAGTGATACAGCACTAGGTAGTCAAAAGGCCTTGATAACTAGCTTGTCATATATCAGTGATACAGCACCAGACAGTCAAAGGGCCTTGATTGCTGGCTTGTCATACATCAGTGATACAACACCAGACAGTCAAAGGTCCTTGATAACTAGCTTGTCATACATCAGTGATACAGCACCAGACAGTCAAAGGGCCTTGATCACTAGCTTGTCATACACCAGTGATACAAGACCTGTCAAAGGGCCTTGATCACTAGCTTGTCATACATCAGTGATACAGCACCAGACAGTGTGTCAGACTGTTTGTTTCCCAACAAATTTGCTGGTCCTGGACAGCAACAAAACATCCAAATGATGCTGACCTCTGGAGCCCGCTGAAGCAATGTTTGCCACTGTGCAAGGTTAACATATTTCTCCACCTTTCTCAGCACACTTTGTGAGTCTGTTACAATCGCGTGTGTATTACAGTAACTTGTTAACAATATCCATTTAGTTTTTATGGTTTCTTTCAACTGTTATAGAACTTTTGGAGGCACTTGAATTACATAAAACAAAATATATACATATTGATTGGCTCTCATAAAAGGTGAAGAATTAAACAATCAAACAGGGATTAGAGAATACATTAGACAATATAAACACCGAAAGCTTTAGTGATACACACAGATTTGCCTGCAAATGAATAATGCAATGTGAATATGTAATCTGAAAGTAGATGGAAAAATTTAGGCTGTAATCTGTCTTTCTATATAAGCAGCAGAAACAAAATGGAATTAGATATGTAATATACAGCAATGCTTGATGTTTGAACAAAGGACATGGAAAGTAGCATAGCTCGATATGTTGTAGTTGTAATGGACTCATGGGCATTCTTCTGAAAACTGAAAGTGGCTTCCTGCACACAGAGTGGCTTGCATCACTTGATAACATTTGGATCTGAAGCATATCATGGATTTTCTGTCCAGGAAATTCAGGTGTGCAAGGTAATGAGCAGGCTGATAGCTCTTCTGGATGGTGAGCTACTTAATGATAAGGCAGATGTGGTCAACGGCCTCTGAGATCAAATGGACAGTCTAATAGAACAGACGTGAATCCATATACTGAAAGATTAATTCAAGGAGATTAATTCAAGGAGAGGTGACTAGAGGGTCTGCAAGGTATTCAACACAGAGGGGGAAATGTAGGCAGACTCTAAATCAGGTTGCAACTGGTACTGTTATTATGTCAACTCTTTGTTGGCCAGTGAGGAAGGAGACAGAGCATGTGTGGGAGTATCTAGAGTGTAGTGATTTCATTTCTTGATTCATTTACAAAGAAAACACAAACAACAGATTGTACAATTTATTGGCTGCCATATTTTGTTGTATCTTGTCAGATGCACAACTGCAGTAACAATTGATACACATTAGGAAAAAAAATGAATTCTTCTAACTGAAAGGGATTCATTTATTTGCTTCATTTTAATCAATATGCAACTTGTAGGAAAAACAAGAATAGCCCAAAGCGTCCCCCAAAAACACGACATACAAGTCCAACTAATTGGGGTCTTCCTTCGAAGTCAGAGTGCATCTGCCTGAGAAACAAGCAATCAACAACCAGCATACAAATAAGTCAGATCGATAGAATGGATTTGCACACAACAGTCAGTTTCTGGAACAAGACTAAGGTCTAAAGGTGGACAAACAACCAGACCTTTCTGCCAGATTTTACAGCTGGTGAACGTGCTGAAGAAGAAGAAGAAGAAGAAAGCTTGATGTATCATTGAGTCTGTTACATTTAGCCTCACCATACTGATCAGACACATCACAACATTATTCCAGTGTATAATACAAGACACATCCAGAGCAGTAATGAATAACAATGATACCCCTACTAAGGATTCGTAAAAATGTGTTTAAGGATTAAACTGACTAACCACCAATCAGCTATCCCTCTAAAAGAGTGGTGTCCAACCTGGGAGGGGGGAATCCTTTGGGGGTTGGGGTAGGGAGGTTTGTGTTTTGCCATATACTCAATGCGGGTGGGGGTGGAGGGGGGGGGGGGGCACCATCTGAATAATGTTTGGAGACCACTGCTCTAACAGTGTATGCTGTGCCTAAGATACTCACCACAAAAATTCTGTACAAAAAGAACAATATGTTGGTGACCTGAAGAATTTGGCTATAAAATGGTGACCCTTGACCTCATGAACCTTCTGCTGTTTCATGGCCCCACGGCGCACAAATTGTTGCTGCTGTCCTGGAATCATTTCAATTTCTGCAATGTAAAAATTAACGTTTTGTCAGTGAACATTTGTTAAGCAAATACTTGCACCATTACTTACTTCGAGGATGGAGGTTAGTAGAATCCCTAAGCACATCCTCTATGGTGAATTATAGATGATTATAAAATGTTGTGCTCAGCCTCTACTATGATATAAAGAATGGTGTAAGCAGGACATGAACAGTACAGGTACTGAGGTGGATTCATGGGAACTGGAAGCCATGACCATTTTGCTTGATGGAGAAAACCAGGATAGGAATAAAGATAAAGGAAAAAATGGTTGCAGAGCTAAGTATTTGAGAAGAAGCTTTTAAACACACCTTCTCCTCAACTTATGACCATCCGCACAATGGTTGCAGAGCTAAGTATTTGAAAATAAGCTTTTAAACACACCTTCTCCTCAACTTATGACCATCCGTAGAATGGTTGCAGAGCTAAGTATTTGAAAATAAGCTTTTAAACACACCTTCTCCTCAACTTATGACCATCCGCACAATGGTTGCAGAGCTAAGTATTTGAAAATAAGCTTTTAAACACACCTTCTCCTCAACTTATGACCATCCGTACAATGGTTGCAAAGCTAAGTATTTGAAAATAAGCTTTTAAACACACCTTCTCCTCAACTTATGACCATCCGTACAATGGTTGCAGAGCTAAGTATTTAAGAAGAAGCTTTTGAACACACCTTCTCCTCAACTTATGACCATCCGTACAATGGTTGCAGAGCTAAGTATTTGAGAAGGAGCTTTTAAACACACCTTCGACTCAACTTATGACCAACGCACTTATGACCATCCTCCCAGAAAAATTAATTTAAAAAAAAGAAAACTACTCTGCCACGTCACATGGGTCAGAGAACTGATGCAATAGAATGCATATTTTGTATTTTTCACATTAAGTACAATAATTATAAATAAACTGACTGAATGTCAGTTTTATGAACAATTTGTACAATTCGTTTGAAAGAAAATAATGTTGGAAATTATAAATTCCACATAATGTCAAATTTGACAGATAAACTTTACTTGGAACGGAATTTGGTCATTTAAGTCTAAGACACCCTTCTTCTTCATTTACTTCTTCTCCTTCCTCTTCTTCTTTTTCTTTGTTCTTCTTCTTCTTCTTCTTCTTCTTCTTCTTCTTTCTCCTCCTCCTCTTCTTCTTCTGCTTCTTCTTCTTGTTCACTGGCTGTAAACAGAAGTTTTTGTTATTCATCCACTTCTGGACCTTCTTGTTTGAGAACTTCGTTTTGCACTCACATCCATTTTACACATTTGGCTTTTTCTTTGTATGTTGACTAAGTGGCTGATGCAGTCAGCATCACGCTGCCTTTACTTCCCACTACTTTAACCTGGTACCCATTTAAGGCTAGGTCGATTAGGGAGCCAAGGTCGTTATTGAAAAACTCCTTTTATGTGAGGACCTGAATCCACAACCTAAGGATCCACAGGCGAGCCTCTAGCTGCTACAACATGGTAGCTCTCAAATCCCTAATCAGTTGTCTCTTACTACATATGTAATAGACTTACCGTCGTTGTTTTCAGCATAAAACCTGACTTGAACCTCTAATCGACCTGATGGCTTCAGGTCCAACTGAAAATAAAGTAAAGAATCTATAGTAAAGCTGTCAAGATCATACAAATTATCATCATCATCTTCTTCTTCTTCTTCTTCTTCTTCTTCTTCTTCTTCTTCTTCTTCTTCTTCTTCTTCTCCTTCTTCTTCTTCTTCTTCTTCTTCTGCTTCTTCTTCTTTAACATTCTGAGCCCTTGAAGTTCAGTGTTGCACTCATTCTCATTAATCTCTATTTTAGTTATTTTTCCAAGTGACTTCAAGTGTTTACTTTTTTTAAAGAAAGTTATGTGCATCTTCACAATGAAGGTTGTTTACAGTGTACCACTGCTGTCTTTGGGAATACTACGTGGTGAGGCCGTGCCGTGATGAGAGGCGTGTCGTGATGAGAGCCGTGCCGTGATGAGAGCCGTGCCGTGATGAGAGGCCGTACCGTGATGAGAGGCGTACCGTGATGAGAGGCGTACCGTGATGAGAGGCGTACTGTGATGAGAGGCGTGCCGTGATGAGAGGCGTACCGCGATGAGAGGCGTACCGTGATGAGAGGCGTACCGTGATGAGAGGCGTGCCGTGATGAGAGACGTGCCGTGATGAGAGTGACCTTCTGTAGAGAACCTGCTAAAAAAAGGCTCATTTAGCAAGCTTGCATATTTTCTGAGAAGGAGTAGGGGGAACAGCCTAAATTATCTGGGAAGAGGTTGGGGGAAGATGGCATCAGCCATCCTAAAATACTGTGGACGGTAGCGGGGGGGGGGGGGGGGGCGGGGAGCCTCTTGGTTACTAAGCCCGCATATTCTGGTTCCCCTGAGGCTAAGTGAAAGAAGAGCAAAAACTGTGGGGCTGGGGTGGAGGAGGAGGGGGGCAGGGGCTAGCTAACGCAACCTTCATCAGGGCGTGAACCCGGGATCTCAAGCACTCCATGTACACGTCGCAACATATACAAACTGCTACTTTATTGTCTCTCATGCAGATATACGCAGCTCTTAAAGAAAACGTTGATCCTGTCTAGGGTGGCCTATCTACGTAGACCTGTCTACGTTGGCCTATCACCGTTGGCCTATTAACGTTGGCCTATCTACGCTGGTCTATCTACGTTGGCCTATTACCGTTGGCCTATCAACGTTAGCTTATCTACGTTGGTCTATCCACGTTGGCCTATCAACATTGGCTTATCTACGTTGGTATATCTTCGTTGGCCTATCAACATTGGCTTATCTACATTGGGCTATCTACGTTGGCCTATCTACGTTGGCCTATCTACATTGGTCTATCAACGCTGGCCTATCAACGCTGGCTTATCTACATTGGTCAGGCTCCCCGTTGGGAACCTGTTTCTAGTTTGTCTGTTGCGAGGTCCCAACCATTACGAACCCTAGTCCTGGCGCCATAAAACTGGTTAACTTCTGAGCAAATATCTTAAGTACTAAATGAACAACACTAGGCGAGACAGGGTTACGAATACCAGCATTAGAGAGAAAGTTGGAATAAGACCTGTCTGGATTACACTGACAGACAAAGAATGAAATGGTTCCGTCATCTAGTGGGAATGCAGCCAGACCAGACTGCATATGAGACTTTTTACAGTAAGACATCTGGGATAAAGGAGAGAGGAAGACCAAGAAAGAGATGGGTAAATGGTGTAGATGAAACCTGCATAAAGCTGAACAAATCCATCACTCAAGCATCCAGAGAAGCGCAAGAAAAACACCGATAACCACGACACTGGGCTACAACCTGGTAACAGTGAACGACAAAAAAGAAGAAGAAGAATGAAGTTAAGATCTGGTCACTGGGATGAGTTAATCCACACTGGTAGGTAGGACTTGGGTGTTGATTGTTTATCATCATTTTGACAAACAGCTGTGGGAACAAGTGTAGTTCTGCAGAATGCAAGGCTTGTAGCACGTAAATGGTTCTAATACAGAGGAGCTCATGGTTGTTTCTTATTTCGCTTTCCAGATTAGTCCATGTTTTTACTGTCTCGGGTAAAGATTCAATGGCGCTGCGGGGAGTCAAAAGGGAATCTGGTCGACACTCAACACTCACGGGAAAGGCGAGACAGATATACAGATAGTTACTGGTACATTCAGAATTGGAACTCTTCGCTTGCTGCTGAAGATGGATACGGAGCACTTGTGGAAGTGTCCCGAGTGCAATCATGTTGATTCCTAATTCAACTTTTAACATTCAGGTAGAGGTAAAGATGTAAAGGTGAAAATGTCCGGGACGTCTCACACAGAGGTTAAGAAATGTCACAGTGAGCATGATAGACAGCCAGGCTCATCAGTGTCTTAGCTGGCTGTGTTGGTCCCAGGACGACCGATTGGGGGGGGGGGGGGGGGGGGGACATGTCGTCAAACACGATTGATTATGGATTTGCTGACATCGGATGTGCTACGTCGAAGGGCAAATAATGCAGTCTATTTGTAAACCACAATAGAAGCCCACAGCCATTTTAAGTGAGAGTGAAGAAGAAGAAGAAGAAGAAGAAGAAGAAGAAGAAGAAGAAGAAGAAGAAGAAGAAGAAGAAGAAGAAGAAGAAGAAGAAGAAGAAGAAGAAGAAGAAGAAGAAGAAGAAGAAGAAGAAGAAGAAGAAGAAAAAGAAGAAGAAGAAGAAGAAAAAAAATTGTTAGCAACTAACAACACGTCGCTCCTTGCTGCGTGCTGGACTGTTGGGGAAAACAAAGATGACGCTCTTGAAGAAAGAACAGCTCAAGTATATATTAAAATTCCAAGACACAGACGGTACAGTTAGTAGCGTTGTCTCTGGGTGATCGATAAATAATAATTATTTTAAAAAATCTCCAAGCAATGAACATTGTAGCGCTGTAGCGCCATTTTTGCTTTAATCTCAGGGTTATTTTTTGTTGTTGCAACTTCTAGCTTCGCTAAATGAAAATTGTAGCACTGTCAGAGTTTTACGTTAGCAAAATAGAGCACAACGTTGGGTTGGGTTGAGAGAGAGAGAGAGAGAGAGAGAGAGAGAGAGAGAGAGAGAGAGAGAGAGAGAGAGAGAGAGAGAGAGAGGGGGGGGTTCGAGGCACGGGGTTGTCATCAGGAAACTGTTTTTTTTTTTTTGGAAAAGGGGGGGGGGGGGCGGGCGGGGATTTATTTAATCCATAAACTAGGGAGAGCTTTGGAACAGAGATCCCCCGTGTGGGTTCCGGGACCCCATTGTGGGGAAAACAAGAATAGACCCACTGCCTCCCCAAAAGCATGTCGTAAAAGTCGACTAATTGGGGAGCTTCCTTTGAAGTCGGAGTGCATCTGCCGGAGAGGCAAGGAACCAACAGTCTGTATTCAAGAGAATGTGATCTGTAAAACTGATGCACACGCAACACTCAGGTTCTGGAGCAGGACTGCAGTTCAGTAGCGGACGAGCAACCAGAACCTTCCGCCAGAGTTTACAGCTGGTGAACGCGAAGATAAAGAAGAAGAAGGAACAGAGATACTACATCAGAAATTCTCAGAATACCACGGACGAAGACGAAGAAGAACACACAGGCAACCGGCACGATCTGAGCATCACGGAGAATTGGCTCATAAACAGCATTCTCTCCCGAAAGCTGAGGTATTTTAGCAATTTTAACGTCATAGTGGCCTTAGAGAGAGAGAGAGAGAGAGAGAGAGAGAGAGAGGGGGGAGAGAGAGAGAGGGAGAGAGAGAGGGAGAGAGAAAGAGAGAGAAAGAGAGAGATAGGGAGAGAGAGGGAGAGAGAAAGAGAGAGAAAAAGAGAGAGATAGGGGGAGAGAGAGAGAGAGAGAGAGAGAGAGAGAGAGAGAGAGAGAGAGCGGTGATGGAGGGAACACTTTCTGGGATTAAAGAGAGAGGCAGGTTTCCGCGAATGCAGACCCGAGACATTAAAGCTGCATAAGAAAGACTTTCATGCATGCTGTTCCGAGAGTGACCTTCCGTAAAGGTCCTGCTCAAATGGGGTTAATTTAGCAAACGTCCATATTTTCTGAAAAAAGTGGGGGGGGGGGGGGGGGGAAGAAGAGAACAGCCAAAATATATCTGTGTAAGAGTTAGGGGAAGAGGGCATCGGCCATCCTAAAATACTGCGGGAGGGGAGAGCGGGGGGGCCCTCACGGTGACTGAGCCCACATATACCGGCGCACCTGAGGCTAAGTGGGAAAAAAAGAGCAATAACTGTGGGACATCGGGGGGTAGCTGACGCAGTACTGTTTACTCGTGGGGAAAAGTTTATAATTATCTATATACTAAACGTACCAATTATCGTTACATTACTGCATCGTTAGGTCTTGCAACGAGCATAATCAGCATAGCAATTATAATTAGTCTTCCCGATACGTACCATTTATTGACAAAGGAAATACCTAGATACGGTAATTCTGTGAAGACGGTGTTGGTATATGTAAGGTTATCAGTATATAAGGTAATCAGTTCATCGCAGTTTCAGAATTCATAGCCAACAGGTCGAATCGGAGTTGCTCCGTTCCTGTACCAAGAAACACACCATAGAATGGACATCACTGTCTCCAGTGACACAACATGACAAAGGCTCCGGTCTTTGCAACTCCAAAAGCATTAACGCGTTTAAACGCTTAAAGCAGCAGTCAGAGGTGCCAGCACAAACAGTCTGACACTAGAAATGCAGTTTATCACGATGGAAGCAGTTAGAACAGATCACTCTTGCACACGCAATTAATCGCATAGGGCACCATAAGTCCTCTGGCCGCCAGCCACGCGCCAGTTTCTGAACCTGAAGTTTACCAACACAAACCACGTTTGGCATATTTGAAAAGCATTTCGAACGAAATCAGCAGTGACGCACCATGCACACTCAAACACGCATAGAGGCATGCATACTCATACATGCACACAGACACATTTGTACATCCCCCCACGTGTATATACACACTCCTATATCCACATCCATATACATACAAACACTCTCTTACATCAACATACATACAATCATACATACCCGTAAACACACCCACTCATGCATACACATACATGCACAGTCTTATACATATACACTCATACATAAATATATA